AGTGTATATATTCTACGTACTGAAAGGAGTGTGTAGTGTAGACATAGCCATAGAGAGAGAAAAGACTTAGGGTGTGGGCTGCTCAGCCCTGAGGTAGGAACCCTAGGAGCAGCAAAGCCTAGGGAACAGATTTGAGCTGTACTTCATTATCTTATTGTTGATTTCTTGTTTAATAAAGTCAAACATGAAGAAGGGATGAGTTTTGATTCACCAATTTGTGGATGTTGGTCTGTAACAGGTTGGAAAAGGGAGCTACTCACAGGAGAACGTATGGCTGCAAATTTTTGAAAGTTGTGAATGCCAAGAATGGAAAGGGATCATTTAGAGTGATTCAAGGGGACATAAAAGTTATAAGATATTAAGAAATGGAAGGTTTATTTTAAATCTCAAGAAAAAATAGAAGTGTAGACTTGAAGAATAGGTCTGTGGAACTGGAAAGCTTGTTTCTTTCACCAACAGAAAATGGTTCGATAAAAGATGCTGTCAGACCCACCTTGTCTCTCTCATATCTTAGGACCAACATTGCTCAAAAAAACAAATGAAAAAAAAACCTTTGGCAAATTAATTAGGCTATGGAAATATCTCTTTGGAGAAGTAGAGGAAGCCCATTGCTTGGGACATTTAAAACTAGGCTGAACAAAATTGTAATACATACTGTAGGGGACAGTACTGTGCTGGCAGATAGATAATCATGAACTAGATGCCCTAACAATTTTTTTCTCTCCCTAACTTCTCTGGTTAGAATACTACTTTCTTCTCCCTATAACTTAGGCTTCTGTTCTTGTTGCTTCCTTTTATTTTCTAAAATAATTGTGTTCTCATCTGTTTTCATGTCTTCATTTATTCTGCCTATCATATCTTTTTACCATAAGACACATTAAAAAGGTAAAGAAAAAATTAGCTTTAGCTAAAATTAACCAGCCAAAAAGGCTGTCGTCATTGTGTCTGGCTCAGGTGCTGTCATGTCAATAAGAAGCATGTATACAGCTTTGGTTTTTGGCATGAGAGCACATCCGTGCTCTCAGCAAAGCCATGTATTATATCCATTGAACTTTGGGCAACCTTCAGGAGCAAGTATATCTTGAGAAACCACTGTGCTAATTATATGATTAAGCCCCTTTAAGGGTGACACTAATTTTCATGCTGCCTCCATGGGCATGTCTGGCTTTCTTTAGACCACTGTAATGCTCCATGTGTAAATCGTATTTGATTGGCTCTGCCATGTCAGTCTTCTTCATCTGTTTGGTGGTTTTCTGCATGCTGTGGTTGTGCCAGGAGAAATGTCTTGTGTCTTGCTTCAGTGGTGGAGGGGGCATAATAGCAGTTATACTGCTAATATAGACACTAAGACAGAAATAACATGTACCTCCTAGGTAATCATGTTCCATAATAAAATATTAGTGTAAAGCTTTAATAATTTTTTTTTTTTAAATTCAATGAAAGTAGTTTCATTGTAACTTGGTTTTGTGGATTAGGGTGGTCGGTGGTAATAAGTGCTCATATTTCAAAATGATCAACAGTGACGAGGTCTTTGAATTTAGGGTTTTGAAAATCAGAATCCACAAACAAATGTATGGACGCTAAAACAAAGTACTGCCAAAACCTTGCATTTGGCTCCCGGACTATAAGTCATACATGCAAAGGGCCAGCCCTCATGCATGACTACTTGGCCACCTTCCCCACTGCCATCAGAATTCAATTTGAAGCCATGTTGCCACTAATCTCCTCTCTGGGGAGGCGTAGAAGGCATAGAGCAGTAGTTAATGCTAAAAAGGAACAACATTATCTCCAATAGAATTCACAATGGAAATAGTACTTGTTTGCTAGGGGAAGATAGGTCCCCCAGTTTCACTTCCTTGGGGTGGCCTCTTCTAAATGCATGAATCCTCAACTGTGTAGGGCAGTTGAAACTTGATGTTGAAAAAAACAGGGAGCAAGTGAAGTGATTCAAATGGGAGAAGAGTGATTTGGCTGTAGCAACAGGGAAAATAGATTATTTTGTCTGCCTCATATTGGATAAATAGAATGAAGAGAATTAGGAAGGCCAGAGAGTAGGTTACAGTAGTCCAGATGAGAAAGCACCAAGCCATGGAACAATTTTTTAGTGGTAGGAGTAAAAGGGATAGGGCATATCTGAGGAATGTCAGAGGAAGGAGTGATGAGATACGGCTGGGAAGAAAGAAAAAGAAAGAAAGGGAAGACTCACAAATATCCTCAAAGTTGTGAGCCTGAGTGATCTGGAGCAAAGAGTTGACAATGATCACTGGAAAAAAGGGAAGGGAATTGGATTAGCAGTGAAGTTTAGTTCTGTTTTAAGCATGTTAAGCTTGAGAAGTGACAAAACATCCCAAAGGATGTATCAGAAAAACATGGAGAGGGAAGTCTGGACTAAGAATAGGGATGCAGAGGTAGATTTGAAAGAGGTGATATGAGAGATCATAGGAGTGAATGAGGTCACCCAGATGCAAACGTAGAGAGTGAAAAAAATAGGAAGATCAATGACAAAGCTTGAGAACATCAACAGGGGGATGGGAAAGGAGGAGAGAGAGAGAATCCAGCAACAGTAATACTGTAGGAGCTGTCAGCTAAGGAGGAGGAGGAGAACCAAGGAAGTAGAGTCACAGAAGTACAAAGTGAGAGGGCCTTCAGGAGAGGTGGTTGTTCCAGCAGAGGCCATTTTGATTCTTGACAAATCTGACCAACACTCAATAAAAAAAATTAACATTTTCAAACAACTTAAGAGACTCAATTATCAGATGAGTAAACACCCATTTTCAGTGACAAAAGTATCCACAGTGCAGGTAGGTGTGTGTGTGTGTGTGTTTGTGTGTGTGTAATATATATATATAAATACACACACACACGCTGTAAAATCCAATTTTGGACTAAATTTCAATCTCAACACATTTTAACAGAGACCATTGCGCACGCGCAAAAAAAAGTACTTGTCAGCTGAAAGTTGCCAGTAAGACACATCATAATCTATTTGCCTCTCCTGTATCCATGTAAGGTAAGACACTTTGGGAAACTTGCTTTAGACTTGATAGAAACCTTATATAGCCATCACTGCCCTGCCTAGTTTAATAGATCTTTTATTGTGCAAGTGCAGTAACCAGTTAGTATTTCAAGATCAGTCACACTGAACAACCTTCTACTGAGACGGTCACAGGACTATTAGCACCTTTTAATTCCATGAGTCAGAAATAGTTGAAATATGGAACTTCTCATCCCCATTGCTTCTGACCTTTTGTTTTTGTTTCAGATTATTCTTGGAAAACCAAAGCTGCTCGTGCTCAATTACCAGGCCCTACTTACAATCCAGCTGCAAAAAACATTAATATCCTGACCCGCCCACCTCCAATTCAACCAGTACATGGAAGAACAGACTGGGTGGCCAAATATGGAGGACATCGATAGAAGCCCTGTCTCATGGTGCACTTTTCATGCAAGTTACATTTGCAGTGTAGGATGACAATCTAAAATGCATATTTCCCTTAATTTCTCTAAAGACTATGCAACAGTAGAATGACTGGAGATCTTGTATTTTATTACCTGCAGAAGAAATAAAATACATTTTACATAGCAATATTCAAAACACTGGCTAAAAGGGAGGATTTTATGAAGTAGTGTATAAAGCATCTTGCCAAAATTGAGTATTTGAACTACTAATAGACAAATTGTAAATTTTATTAGAAAACTTTCTGTAGACCCAACTGCTGCCCAGTGTACTCTTAAAATTGCTTGACTTTAAATTTGTCCTATAGGAGTAATCCTGCACTGGTGATTTGTGAAGTAACAACCGGCTTCTGAACGGATGCTGCTTCCTTGTGCAAGTTCCTTTCTCTGAAGTTGAACAGTGAAAGCACAAATAGTATTCTGAGGAGAAAGATATGCTGTGTTGCTAGCTAAACAAAGGTCCCAGAACTGAGCTAGATGTGTTTTGTGTTTCCTTAGGGATAGTCTCTGCACAATTGTATACATTAGTGAGCACTTACTCCTACAAGCAGGTCATGGAACTATTTGTGTGTAAGTACTCACCAACAAGAGAAAGGGTTGCACTATTTAGCCCAAAGTGGTGTAGTGATAGGAGTTTGGGAACACAACTTACCAAGTAGTGAATGCCACAGTCATGGGGACAAGGTACCCTAAGACTTAAAAAAAGGATTTTATAAATTAAGCTATGTGTATATTAGGCCACAGTTCTGTAGCTTCCTCCTCCTCCCCCATGTTGCCCAGTTGAAGTCTTAATGAGGTTACAAAGGATCAGTTATGCAGTGTATTTGGCTTATTGACTGGCTAATTCACCAAAACACTAGCTAACTGGTTAGTTAACGCCCATTGAACTGTATTGTCTTTTCTTGGTGACCATAAAATTGAACTATAGAATTCCCCACTACTTACAAAAATTCACCAAACTACATAAGACAGGAAATGAGACTGTTAGTGGAAGAAAATTTTTAAGATTGTTTTTCTTATTGAAGTAAGGATCCAACTCCTGGTTTCTAATAAGTATACAAACTCCTCTGATGCCAATAGGGGTTATGCAATAGTCAAAGATCTATAAACTTGTCCATCAACACAGTTCTTCTAATAGGTTATATTTTAATATGCTAAGTCAAGGACTTTATATCTTCCAAGAAGCTGTTGGGGTTTTTTAAAATGTTATCCTGGGATGTGTGCTGTTAAAACCTGCATTTAAAAGTAGAAATTGTAGACTTAATAGCTACATTAAATCTGCCATTTTAAAGTCCAAAATGTGTATGTACTCTGTACTTTTAAAGGTATAAAAACTGTTACAGATTGATCCAAGTATTGTCAAAAGTATTTTGTATAGATTTTATTAGTGTATAAAAAATTTTAGTTCTTGTTGTAGACCTAATTTGCCATAATCCAGTGGTTTATGTAATTTAGAGGTGCTCAATTTAATCAGAGCCAGACTAGCCATAAAAAGTCAACTATTTTGCTATGAAAACTTCACCCTAAATAGTAGCTAAATAAAATGTCACCATGTACTACTGGAAAAGTTAATAGTATCTATAGTGTGATGTAGGAATTTCTGATTAGTAATGTACTACAGAGGACTTCAATCCCATGTTGTGTTTTTCTTTACTGGTTTGTCAGTCCTTCAAAACGAATCGTCCTTGTATTATTTAAAGGCAGTTTTTAATACGCTATTTAATTACTGGTTATGTTACTAAAGGACAGACAGACTTTCAAAACAGGCCTGGTTCATTAGTGTACTGTGAATTGGAAAGCCCTGACTTCATAATAAAGATCACTTCTCAGGAGTACAAGATAGTGGTTTACAGTCTTTATTTATTGTTTTTTAAATAGTTAAGTCAAAAAAACATATAATAAATGGCCTGTGAAAAGTCACTTAGGCCAAGAGATTCTGAAAAACTAAAATATCTGTTGTCATAAATATGCATGCCATCTTCTGCTTTTACGTGGTCAGAACATGTTTACAGCCATGCAAATGAAACCAACAGCTCATATGGTCAAACAGCCATAACCCAAACATGATGATGCCTTGAATGTACTGAACTATTAAAGCATGCGTGTCCTTGAAATCATGAAAATTGCTTTTAAAAAACGTGAGTGTAAACTCCACAAAAATGGTTAATAAATGAAACAAAAAAAATAAAGCCCAATATTTTCTCCACTCAGTCTCCACTTGGGTGGCTATAGTTTCACCTGAACGTGGAACGAGCTGCTACTTGCAGCAGTTTGGAATTGAAACTGCGTCCTAGATTTTATTAGGGGTGAAAACGCAGCCACAACAACAGAGAACTCTTTATTTTCCAGTTTTGTGGAACAATTGAGAGTAGCATTTAATGATAGCTACTGAACAAAATTTTAGAAGTTAGGTGATATCCACACATTGTAATCAATTATCAGAGGGGTAGCCATGTTAGTCTGTATCCACAAAAACAACAAGGAGTCCGGTGGCACCTTAAAGACTAACAGCTTTCATGGGTAAAAATGCATCTGAAGAAGGGGTTTTTTTTACCCACTCAAGCTTATGCCCAAATACATCTGTTAGTCTTTAAGGTGCCACCGGACTCCTCCTTGTTATTGTAATCAATCAGATTGCCACTTTCCCCCATCAGTTTCATTCAGCCACACCTGCAGCCAATGTCTCAAACTACTGGAGATAACTTGTGCTTTATAAGTTGCTGTATATCAGTGGCCTCCAGCTTGCCACATGTGTTTATATATGTTTCTCTTTTACTTCCACTCCAGCCATCTGGTCTGTCCATAAGCAACTCAGAGGCAGAACATCTGCCCAGTAGCTAAAGAGGAGTCCTAAATGCTGCTGCATGTTGTCTTCGGTTAACCCTTTAGGACTAGATTCACTATCAGCATGCCTAAGTTTGTTTGTGAATGTTGCCATGCCTAACTTCTAGGTGTCTAGAAGATCCTGGGATCCATAAAGCTTGAGTTAGGCACCTTAGAATTGGATTCACAAAAAGCCAGAACATTAAGTGGCTCCCACTGGCTGAGGGTTCTTAACCCTGCCCCTCTAAGATAGCATCTAAGTCAAGGCTGCAGGGAGGCCTCACCCTCCACATGAGATTCTCAGCAGCAAACCCTCTCTTGGGGTTAGGTGCCTATGCCATTTTTTTGCAAGAAGCTTGTGGGGGAGGGGAGAAGGAGGCTGTGACGGGTTGGATCAAAGAAACCCCCTTTGGGACTGCCACCTGATATGCCGAGACTACTTCTGAGCCCGTTTTCCCTGGCAGCTTGGGACTTCAGTGCCCTGCCTGGTTTGAGTCAGACACGCTAGCCTGCTACAAACACAGACCCAGGTCTGAACAATGTCCCCCAAAAGCTGCAGGCTTAAGTGAAAACAGCTTAAGAAGTGCTCCTGTCTCCAACACTCAGGTGCCCAGCTCCCAAACCCCAAATAAATCCATTTTACCCTGTATAAAGCTTATACAGGATAAGCTCAAATTGTTGGCCCTCTATAACACTGATAGAGAGAGATGCACAGCTGTTTGCCCCCCCCCCCCAGGTGTTACTACATACCCTGGGTTAATTAATAAGTAAAAAGTTTTAGATCCAAGGGGTTTGGATCTTGATTCACCAGGAGTTGGTGAAAGAAAGAAGGGAGGATGGTTAATTTCTCCTTGTTTTAAGATCCAAGGGGTTTGGATCTGTATTCACCAGGAAATTGGTGAAAG